TGGCATGTGGTGCTGGGGGATTGAACCGCGGTCCCTGATGCCTTGCCAAGCTTGTTCTAAGTAGGTGCTTTAGACCACTGAGCCATCTCTCCAGCCCGAGCCTGGGGTCTTGAGAAGGACTCTGAAGTCTATGGGTCCCACTGGCAGTGCCAAGGAAGCCCATTTGCTTTGCACCAGATGCGGTGCCAGGTGCTTGCATGAACTGTTTAGATAATGCTTATCCAATCTGCAGCTTTAGATCTTCCATGAAACTAAAGCTCAGAGACACTCGCGCTCAGAGGAAGCAGCGCTCAGGACTGGGCTTTCAGGGACCTTCCGATGGTCTCCATGGAACAGTCCACTGTGGCACGTGTGCTGTAGGCTCACCACCGGTGCCATGGAGTCGGCCATAATCTACGCTTGCTACTGTCCCCCCAGAAGTCAGTGGGCCCCCACCCCTGGATCAGTCTAATCCACATACGGTTCTCCTGAGACCCTGGACAGTGCAGATACTGAACTCTGAGGCCTGAGTGGGCCCTCAGATTCTATGTGGCTGCTGGCCCATGGAGCACCCTTTGAGTAAAAATAATCTAAAGACAGAATCACAGGCATACACGCAAGGTATCAGCCATGGGGCAGATTTCAGAGGCTCTTTTGCTCCTCTCTTCCTCCTGAGGCTGACTTCTCAGCTTTGTTCTCTGCCCTACCCCACTGCTAGCTGCCCTAACCACTGGCCTTTCCTGGACACACCCAAGTTCTCTCCTGCCCATTTTCCACCTGGTAGGGTCTCAGCCTGCAGAGACCAGACTCAACTACTGCCTCCCCCATGCAGTCTGCCCCTGTGGTCTGACTACAGAGCATCATTTCTTATTTGCGTATTTACTGCACACTGGAGTCAAAGAGAAGGGTCCATGACTTCCTTCGCATCTTACCATCTTTCCTAGGAGCCAAGCACAGTGCCTGCAATAATAATAATGAGGGTTCAATAAGAGTATGAAGGAGGGAAGGGAGGACAGGAGGGCATGCCCTACACTGGAGGAGACTGGCTTGCCCTCCCTGAAATTATTCTTTTTTTTTTTTTTTTTTTTTTGCGGAACCGGGGATTGAACTCAGACCCTTGCATTTGCCAGGCAAATACTTATTCTACTGAGCCATCTCCTCAGCCCCACCTGAAATTATTCTTGACAGATACAGAGACAAGAGACAAGAGCCTGGGAGTCTTTGGGGTCCAGGACAGAGCTTGTATTTGCAGGCAGCTGGCCTGGCCCATGCATGTATGGGGCAGGGACTAGGCTCTTCATCTTATCCTTTTGGGGTTGCTAGGCCCCTTGATCAAGTCACTGCTCTGGGTGCCCCAACAGTTGGTATTAGAGGTATTTAGCTCCTCTGTAACTAAAAACAATGTCAATAGTGATGATAATAGCAATAATTAGCATAATTACCAGAAAAACATTGTCACTATAGTGTGAGGGAGGTCAGGCAGGGCTCATCTTCCCATTCATTTGTCCTGGGCATATCATTCCATATGTTACTGGCGTCAGCTACAATATGGACTCAGCAGGGTGAGCTGCACTTACTGATGATGCCTGGGACCCTAAGAACTCACACAAGGGAAGGTGAACCAGGGTGCAGCCTCGGTACTAAGCACCGAGTTAGGCGTCGCATCGGCTAAGTGTGGGCTCCCCTGGAGTAGATGAAGACTCCCGTTCCTGCTGGAGTCTCATTCAGGCCTGTTCTTAGATGACCACATCTTCTGCTCCAGCCATACACAGTGGAGCTGGAGTTCACCGAGGCCGACAGACACGTCCCTGAGCTACACATACCTCTCTGCAACACCCAGGACCCTGCCCTAGGTGCACCGGGCAGATGCAGAACAGGACGAACAAGCTGCACCTTGGGGGATATGAGGAGCATGTCCACACCCACACACAATACTATGCTGGAGCACAGGTATGAGCTAAAGTGTGGTCTGATGACAGGCTCACTTGGAATGCTTATTGAACAATTCACACCCTTCCTATAGCTTCTCCTACTGAATTAGCATCTCTGAACATGGAGTGTAGGACTATGAGCTTTAACAAGCTGCCCCTGTGACCTGCACACACATGAAGTTTGTGTACTAACAAGTCCTGGGTGGTTCAATCAGATGTCTGCTACTCTGGTGGACTTGCTGGAGTGAAGGCAGCAACGGCAGGCAGGACAAGGACACTGTCCCAAAGCAGATGCTGTTGGCTAAGCAGCAAGCTTGTCTCCCTACCTGAGATGGGAGGGGGTCTTTGTGGGGGACACTGCCATGCCTCCATTTCCTTTGCTAGTCACTAGTCACTTCCAAGAAGCTAAAGTCAGCCCACAGTGTGCAGATGGAGATTTCTGGGTTGACTTGAGAGAGAAAGCAGGAGGCTAAGAGTGTTGGCTATGTTGCTGACATACCCACCCTCTCTGTCCTGTCCATCTCACAAGGCTGAGCTGGGCTCCTGAACAGGGGTGGAGGGTCTCCTACCTGTACACAGCTCTCTTGTCAGCTTCCAGCTGGGCCTGGGGGTCAATGGGGGCACTGGGTACAGGTGTGCTGGCAGTAGCTGATGGTGCAGAGATGTGGACAGCCTGGGCCTTGGAGGGAGGCTGGGCAGTGGCCGTCATCTGCAGAGAGAAGAAAGGAGAGATGGCAGCTTAGCTCAGCAGGCTCCCAAGCTAGAGGGAGAGGCCGATGTTATGCCTGGAGAACAGGCTGTGAGCAAGAAGAGATGGTGAATTTACAGTTAGCATCCATTTGTACATGAGGTACAATGGAAAGAAAAGCAAGCCTTTCTTCAAAGAACGTTGTAGAAAACAGTTTAGAGCCATCCCCCATCCAGGTGATGCTCAGAATCACCCATCTCTCTTCCCAAGAGATGATTCCTAATGTAGCGACCTTACATCAGAAGTACAAAAGATACAATGAACCATTTAAATTATGCTTATGAGCCTTTTGGATGTCAGTAAGTTTGGTTGGATGACTCTGGAGAGCAGGAACAAAAGTAGCTGAGTCAGGGGCCAGGGAGATGGCTCAGTGGAATAAGTGCTTCCCTGGCAAGTGCAAGGGTCTGAGTTCAATCCCCGGTTCCACACACACACACACACACACACACACACACACACACACACACACACAAAGTAGCTGAGTCAGCTCTTGTTTGGGCCGAGGTTTAGTTGTTCTCTGATGCAAACCAAGAGCTAGCCCTTCTCATGGTTTTAATTGATGCCTACATGGCTCTCCAAATTTGGTTGGTCTGGTCATTTGAAGATAAGATTTTAATAGACAATAGGCAGATTTCTCTTTTGGCCAGAGCAAATATTTAGAGAAGTGGTTTTCACACCATATTACAGGTTTTTGAAGGTGTCCCGAGGCTTTCAATTTTGTTTTGTGTCAACTAGAGCAACTCTTTTTAATATTATATATCAGGGGCTGGAGAGATGGCTCAGTGGTCTAAAGCACCTACTTGAAACAAGCTTGGCAAAGCACAGGGACCTCGGTTTGATCCCCAGCACCACATGCCAGCCAGCCCCGCCCCCTGGTGGGCTGAGCTGGCCACACACACACACACACAATAAATAAATGTAATAAAAATAAATAAATATTAAAAAAATATTATATATTGGACTTTTGTTCTAAGGTTTCTTTTAAAGAAATGGTTCAGTAGCTTGAAAATTTTTCAAACCATCGTTATGGTGTTTAATGCCTTTATGTTTCCTTCAGTCATAGAGAGCCCTGGAGGCTGAATGCTAACATTTCCCTACTTAATTTTTTTTTTTTTTTTTTTTTTTTGTGGTACCAGGAATTGAACTCATAACCTTGCACTTGCCAGGCAAGCACTTATTCCACTGAGCTATCTTCCTGGTGTGACATTCCCCTACTGTTCGGTCACATCAACCTGTTCCTGGCACCAGGACAACTCTCATCACACTGTGTTACTGGCCTAAATGTAGTAGTCTATCTTCTGCTTCAAGGCCCTGTTCACTCCTCTATCCCTGGCACCAGCTGGGCATGCTTAATAAAAGTGATTGATGCTTAATAAATATATTTGTGGAGAAAATGAGTGAATAAGTAAATGAACAAATAGACCTCGAAGGGACTAGATATTTTACACCTGGGACACTCATCACAGGATCATCTAGGTCTCTGCTTTGTAGATAACACCATTTCTGTGACTATAAGCATGTTGTTGGTGGCGCATACGCCCCTAAGTCACGCTGGAGAGCAAATGTCTTATTCCCTTCATTTATGTCTGCTCAGATGCATCTCCTTCAGAGAAAAATCTAGCTGCTCTGCCTCTAGCTTTATTTTTCTGCAGTGCTCAAACCACAATCACATGTGTCCATTTGTCTATTTATTTTTTTCCCCCACTTCTAACTAGAGCTTCAGCTCAAGGTGGTCTGATAAGTTATATGCTTATGGCGTGGGATAGCCTGGCACCAGTTGGTGTTAAATATCTGTTGAATCAATGATTTAATGAATGAAGGCAGGTGAAGGAAGGTGAGAGCAAAAAGAAATATTTGGATTTACTGTAGCATCACCTTCTTAGGGTTGTTTCTTGTCAGTGAGTTGCGGAGAGCTCAACCTGTGACTGTGGTATGATTCTTCCCTGATAGATCAGGAAAAGAAGATGCAACTGACCTTGCAAAGCTATCTCCCATGATATCCTTCTGGAAAACATGGAGAAACTGGGCATCGTGTGGATTAGAAAACTACCCCAAAGGGAATATGGCTGGAGGACAGATGTCACTGTGGGGGAGGTTTCTAGGAAAGTGCCACATGCTTTGTCCCTAGTGTTCTTCAACACTTTTTAAGCAGTGACTGAGAGGATAGCTAAAGAAATCCTCAGCAAATTTATGGGTGACTTCCAACTGGGGTCTGGGCAGTATGCTAAACTCAGTAAGATTAGTGTTCACCTGAGAAGTTAACAGCTGAACACTTCTAACATTGGGCCCAAATAAATCAATAATGCAGAGTGAAGAACAGGGGAGCTATGGCTTAGCAACAGTGTTTCAGTTGAAAGCTAGTCAGTGTGAGAGAGAGAGAGAGAGAGAGAGAGAGAGAGAGAGAGAGAGAGAGAGAGAGAGAGAGAGAGAGAGAGAGAGAGAGAAAGCGCATGAACTAATGCTCTCTGAGGGTAGGCTAAACAGCACCATGGCCCATCGGGTGAAGAAGCCTCTGGCCCTGTCCTGCTCTGACTAAGCCTGTAGATGAAGGCACACTCAGAGAGGACAGGTGACCAGGATGGTGAAGGGACTCTGTAGCACACTCTATATAAGGACTATTTGAAAGAGCCTGGAACATAAAAGCAAGATTCGAGAAAAATGGGCAGATATGCAGCCTCCTTTAAATATCTACGTGAGAGGATTACATTATGTGATTTCTGTCCTGTGTGCACCAAAGGGCCAAGCACTAAACTGCCTCCAAGGAGACAGCCTAAGCAACACCTGACCAAGCCCCGCACTCTCCAAGGCTGGAATGTGCTGCTCCCAGGAGGGGATGGGATCATTAGATGGGTGGCCAGGTTAGGGGACATCTGAAGTCCCCTCCATTACTGACGGGCTGGGACACAGAGGACGCTTCAGCAATCACCAGCCATAGCATCAGTTGGCAGGAGTCTCGCATGAGGGATACATATGAAAGGGGCTTGGGAACTCTAGAGTGCTTCTCAGAGGAAGGAGTGGCTGTTATTACAAAACATTAGATCTCCAGAATGTGCTCCTGCCAGGAAGGAAGGCACAGCTCGGTCCTCACAGCTCATCTGAGATGTCAGAGGACCGCTGTGCTCTGCCTGCCCACAAAATGCATTTTCTTGTGTCCTTGAAGGAATCAGCCAGCTGAGGCTTCCATTAAGATGAGCCTCTAGGGGCCAGGGAAATGGCTCAGTAGAATAAGTACTTGCCTAGCAAAAGCAAGGGCCTGAGTTCAATCCCCAGTTCTGCAAAAAAGAAAAGATGAGCCTCTGGGTAGCGAGGGATATGGGGGCTGCTACTTGACTCACTCCTGGCCCCTCCTGGGAGGACCTCGGGGACAAGTGGAAGAAGGCAATGCTGTTGGGCTGAAGAGGAACGCAAGGGGATGAACGTGTAAATCCAAGGTGGTGGCTTGCGTGTAACCCAAGGTGGTGGCTTGCGTGTAACCCAGGCGGCCCCAACTAGAGGGGGTTATTTGAGGGAGGGAAGAAGAGGGGAGCAGAGGTGGACTGAGGGGGATGATGACTCAGATTTATGTAGCTCCTGGGGGCCAATTCAGCAAACTCTGCATTTCTTCCAGATCTGAGATGAATGTTCATCTCCAAATAGATTTCTTTTTCTAGCCAGAGAGCTCCGTTTCCCAAGAACTGGAGCTGAAAGGACCTGCAGCTGTCCTGGGGGTGGGGTGCTGCTGCAGGGGGATGGGGGTAACTTGAGGTAAGTTTTGGGGGAGCCTGGTTGTAAGATCAGAGTGGGGAGGACCTGGGTGGACCAGGGCAGGACGGGTCTGTTCAGCAGCGTTCCATGAAGGCCAATGGTTGAAATGTTCGGGAAATTTTTTAAGCTGGTTTATAGTGCATGGCTATCCTGTAGTCAGCCATGGTAGGAACGAGAAAATTAGCAAATGGTACAATCAGGGCCTACCTCTGACCTCCTCTGCCCTCCCTACCCCCATCGCCATAGAGCCCGATAATTACTTATTAGCATAGTGCTATTTCAGGGTTATCACCAAGTCTCTTCTGTCCCATCCCCTCAGTGTGACAAGGAAAGGCACTAGTCCCACATGGTTCATGAGGCCACCAGGCATGTCAGAAGGTCCCTTTTAAGGCAGGGGAAGCTAAGATGCAGGGTGATTGGCACCCACAGAGAGGGAGTATTTGGGGATCAGGCCCAGGTTTGTAACAGCTCTTTGCTGATTGTTAGTGCACGTTATTTGACCTCTTTAGTTTCTTCATCTGTAGAAAGCAAGAGGCAACACCTATCCCAGGGTTGTGAGGGTTAATAACTAGTGATGCGACACAGGGGCAAGCTGATCCTGCCAGCCATGGTTCTGTAATTTTTTTTTTTTTTTGGCAGAACTGGGGATTGAACTCAGGCCCTTGCACTTGCCAGGGAAGTGCTTATTCTACTAAGCCATCTCCCCGGCCCTGGTTCTGTAACTTCTGATTCTCCTTTTAGCCTTGGGCCCTTCCTGGGGCTAAGATCCTGTACCCAGGACCTCCACTGTTTTCCTTCCTTAGATAGTACAACCACTGGGCTGCTCTCTGTCCCCTACTAGAATCAGCCCTACCTGCAGCCTGCAGCTAAAGGGGCCTTCCCTGGTCATGCTTTCTGATTTCTTGAGATGAAGTTCTCTGCCTCCAACCCCCATATCCTATTAGAAGGGACAAGTTGGGAGTTGTAGGATGTATTGTAGGAGTCCAACATCTGCGGGGCTGACAGTCTGGTCTCTCCAAATGAATGAGTAGAAGATACTCCCTGGCACATGTAGAGTGGCAGGATTAGGCAGAAATGGGCAGACATGAAAGCTTCCTTTAAATATCAAAATGAGAGGATTAGATTATATCATTTGTGTCTTGAGGGGCACACAAGGTAGCCCTTGGATGTCCTTGCAGTCACCCTAACTGGTACTTGAATGACCTGCAGGATGCTTC